TCTCTAGACACAGAAACTAGATTATTAGTTTCTTAGGGTTATCACAGGAGAAGTTGAGGGGAAACAAGAACGAAGAAAATGTTCTAAAGTTGACTACTGTGGCAGGGGTGGTGGTGGTTAGTAAATGCACAATTCTAATATATTTAAACATTGAATTATATGATATGTAAGTTATGTCAAGAAAACTGTAGAAAATAATATGTAAAAATTAATTTAAAAATGGATGAAGGATTACTGAAAAATTATGGGGATGAAAATCCTTACCTATTCAGTTCCCTGTTATCAACCAGATAGACAGCAAAAAGGATAAAGACAGTTCTATTTAATACCATCACAGAGTATTTACAATTGTTCCAGTGAATGATATTCTAATACCTACCAAAAGAAAATAAACTGAAAAAGAATAAAAGAACTCAAAAACTGAATCAATTATAACTCATAGCAACCCTGGATTAATGCGGTGTGAGTTGAGCTAATAACCGTTTGAACCTACCAGCCGTGTCACAGAGCAGGATGAGGTTTTCTGCGTGGTAAAGATTTACATCTTCAGAAACCAAAAGGGACAGCTCTCCTCTGCACCAGAGGGCCACTATGAGTCCGAATCGACTTTAAGACAATGGGTTTGGTGACAAGAATATTAAATAAAGCAGGAAGGAATGTCTGAAACCCAAGGGTTCTAAGTTCTCATGTTGTCCAAAAGAAAAGTAAAATATATCAACTTTAGATTTTGTTACATTAAATATGTATATTATATTTTCTAGGATCGCCAGTACAAGGAAAACAAAATAAATTCTAAGATAATAAGGAAAATAGGATATGAAAATATAATACAAAAGAAGATATGGAAAGAGTAAAAAAGCACCTATGTTTAAAAATTGAGAAATATATTCATGGGGTCAAACCCTAAAAACTAAACTCACTGCCACTGAGTTGTGCCTGATTCATAGCAACCCTAGAGGATAGGGTAGAAATGCTCGTGTGGGTTTCTGAGACTGTAATTCTTTTCGGGAGTCTCATTGTTTCTCCCAGGAAGCAGTTGGTCAGTTTGAAATGCTGATCTTTTGGTTAGCAGTACAACACGCTCCCCATTATACCACCAAGGCATAAAAATAATCAGTAAACTAAAATGTTAGAAGGCACAAATGATTACATATTATAAATTGTGGGTTGTAAATTAATGAGCTATTTAAAGGAAATTTTATAATCTGAAATCCTACTAGAAAGCCCGTTTACCTTCCATCAAGTAAATTCCAAACGCATTGGCCCTTTGGGTTTCTAAGGCTGTAAACCTGTATGAAAACAGAAACCCTTTTCCCTCATAAAAAGCTGTTGGATTCCAACTACTGATCTTGTGGTTAGCAGCCAAATGTGTAAGCACACCACCAGCGCTCCTTTACTACAAGAAAAAGAGGCTGGTAATTTATAAGTAATCAAACCAAGGAGCAATGTAGAAATATTTAGCACTAATACTATGTACCCCGCAAACATAAATGTACTTTCTACTTCTAGGGCCTGAAAGGGAATAACAGAATTTTCAGGCATGAAATGTTTGACAGTTGTCCATAATGGAGGTTAAAGTGGTATAACCAGAAGAATTGACAGGTCTGAGATTAATGCCTATTGGACAAGGGTGGCTCCTTAAAAAGGACGATCTCGAAGATGAACTTTTACAAGATTTAGAGGAACCGATGAATGACAAAGATATGTAAAACTCCTTAAATATAATTTATTAACATTAAATAAAATCTATAAAAAAACAAAAAATAAAAAAATCAAACCAAGGAGCTAGAAAAATAAACCAATAAATAGAAAGGAAAAAAAGTAAAAGAGTAAAAACAATGACGAAAAGGAGAAAGGGGAACAAGCAGAGAACTACTCTACCACAAATAGCCAACCCTTTGTTTTCCTCCATAGAACCCTCATTTATTTTTATATAACATAATCTTTAATGGATAAGTAGGCTACATATGTGCATGTATGTATAAGAAGAAGGAGTGAGATGAATCATACAGAGTAGGAACACAAGAGAAGATTTACAAAAGAGACAGGCTTCTTTGAAAAGAATATCTTTGAAAACAACTAGCCACTCTTTGTTAAGAATGACCAAGAAAAAACAGGTGGAATTAAAAACAGTATAAAAAAGAAGATACACTGTAGACATTTAAAAGATAACGGAATATTACTAATAATAATTTAGAAACATATGAAATGGACAAAAGCCTACAGAAAAATAATCTAGTAAAACTAACCCTAATGACCTGAATGGTGCTACTAAAGATAATTTAAGCAGTAGTGTATTACATTGGCAAAGTCTTCTCAAGTTACTTTGGCCATTTTTCCAGGTGGGCTTACATCTGTATTGCAGCCCCTAAATGTGTGTTTAAATAAACCTTTCAAGGACCATGTGCGAAAGATGTGGCATGCATGGATGTCATCTGGTCAAGCCCGACTGACAAAAGTTGGAAATCTGATGAAGCCCGACATAGGATTGACAGCAAAGTGGGTTCGTGATGCATGGGGAAAAGATTCCAGAGGTCATGGTGCAACGTGCCTTGAAGAAATGTGGCGTTACTAATGCTATGGATGGCAGTGAAGACAGTGCTTTGCACGAGAAAGACAGCAGTGGTGGTGATGACTGCGTACTCAGTGATGATGGCAATGTCTGCTGATAACCCCACATCAGCTCAAGCTCAAGCTCTGGACATTCAGATGATGATGAGGAATTCCGTTTTGAAGGATTTTAACTCTTGTGTTTTAGCTTGGTTGCTGATTGAGCTAAGATTTTTTGTACTTTTAGAGTTGTTGATGCCATGTTGTTTTTTGTTTCCCCTCTTTTCCACTTACAGAGCTAGTTTACTATTTTTCTTTGAAATAAATATTCAAAAACATTTAACCTACTGATGCCTCAATTAACATAATTTCATTGGGATCTTTTTATTTTGAAATTTACCAGTGGCTGCTCCATTTCCCACCCTAGACTTATATGTGAGTCAATAAATCTTATGGTAGAATTGGGTGCCTCGGCTTATATTCGGGTCAGTTTATACTCGAGTATACACGGCAGCTAATTTTGCAAAATGCCTTCTGTGACTTCTCATGTGTCAGTTAACACCAGTGGAATCCAAAAAATACGAATGTAGTTCTTGTGAGACAGCCTATCTACATACAGAAAGGAATCAAATGGCAATATAGGATTTGTACAGCACAGAAACCATATCAATATGGTAAATGGTGAAGTCCTTATGAATCTGGTGTCTGGTAATGCCTCCAGGTTCCAATTAAATTTTGTTTTATGTTCCACAAAGCCCATAGGACAAAGTGATATATTAATGGGACAAGAGAGTTAAGAAAAATATCCACCTCGTTGTTTGGCAACAAAGTTTATCCTGCAGGAAATAATGAATGCAGAGGTTGGGAAATCATAATTGATATGTACATTGATATCAAGGAATCTGATTTTAACCCAAATGTATGTAAATGGATTTCTCTGTTCTATCAATAAGAGGGGTGAAAATTTGAGTTCATGTCATAGACAAAATAAGTAATGTAAATTTTAAAAATGAGTACTCGATTAAAAAAAAAAAAGGCAATTCCAAAACTCAGATAGTTATACTAGTAAGTAAAGAAATGGTCCTTTAGCTACAACTCAACCAACCAAGGATCAATATCCAGAATGTACAAAGAATTCCAACAAACAAACAAAAAAAGAAACATAACAATGCAAAAACAGGTAAAATCTTGAATAAGCAAGCCACAGAGAAAGGAAAATGAATGATTAATAAATATATCCAGGAAATATTGCAGGAAAATTTACATGAAAATCAAAATGATAAACCACTTCAAACCCAAGACAAGGGACATATATATACACATATTTTTTTAATCAATTTACTGGGGTTCATACAATTCATCACAATACATAGATCAATTGTGTAAAGCACATCTATACATTTGTTGTCTTCATCATTCCCAAAATTTGCTTGCCTCTTGGATTCCCAGAATCAGCTCATTTTCCTTTTTTCCCCCCTCCCCTTCTCTTCCTCTGTCCCCCTCCCCCATGCACCCTTGATAACTTATAAATTATTATTATATCTTATATTACACTGCCCGGCGTCTCCCTTCACCTACCCCTCTGCTGCTCATCCCCCAGAGAGGAGGTTATATGTAGCTCCCTGTGATCAATCCCCCTTTCTACACCCCCTTTCCCTCCTGGTATTGCCACTGTCACCCCTGGTCCTGAGGGGTTATATACATATATATTATTGATGAGAAAACAGAACAACTAGAAATCTTACATACTTCTGCTAAAAGCATTAATTATAAGATTAGTTGGAAAACAATCTAGGGCTCTTATAAAAATATACACAGAGCTATACATGCTTTGGCAACATTTTTTTGTAATAACTTAGAAATAACCCAATACCCAATAAGATAAACAATAGATTCATAAAATAGAAAACTCAAGAACCGTGGAAGTAATGAAACTCAGGAATATACTGTTGAATAAAAATGCAAGCTGACAATTACATACATACAGTTCATTTACAGAAAAAAAAATTTAATATGCAAATCTAAAAAATGTGATTAGAGATCCAATTTTGTGGTAAAACTTTTAAAAATAAGAAAAGATAAATAAATATCAAAATCAGAATTATTGTTATATCTGAGGGGAAAGAGAAAGAAGTAAAATCAGGAAACATGTATCAAAAATGTTAATGCTTTTCTTCAAATTAGTAATATTTAAAACATTTTATCAAATTAATTCAGTGTGCAGCGTTTGAAATATAAGTTGCTGACTCCATAGGAATTTTACCACTTACAGGTGGTAACACTGAGTAAAATTTGTTTATAAACACATTTTAAATGCTTATAAGTACTAATAAATTCTCTGTAACTATAAAAAGAAAACCTGTATTTATAAATACTTCTCTCTGACCATGTGCTATGCTGGTAATAAAAGTAATATATAATTTTAACAACAAAATAAACAATTATCTTACCTTTATTGGTGAAATATGAGAATGAGACACAAATCCATGAACATTCTCAATCTCAGACAGGTTCTTTTCCGAAACGTGAACCAATTCTGGACCTATGACTTCATTAGTGATTTGTGGGGAAATGTGCTCTTGAGGTGTTATGTCTTCATCCTGATACCGGTATTTCTGTGAAGAAAATATATTTCAATTTCTAACTGAAAATTAGTCCAGTAGTGAAGAGTATTTTTCTTTGATCTGTAAAACAATTCAGACCTCTACCTCTCATCCACAGTCAATACTTTGGTATCCATTTTTTTAAGAGATTAGCACAATTTCATGAAAACAATATCTACCTCACACCATACACAAAAGGAAAGGAAATTATAATCACAAGAGCTGAATGAAATTATAAATGATGTCTATTTATTAACTCCTGCTGGAAGGCCTAGGTTATTAAAACAAAAATATCCTCCTTTCCATTCTCCTGACAAAATCCCAACCTTAAGAAAAATCACAAGGCAGAATAAGGGTGGTGGTGGTATTAAGAATAAACAAAGGTTATATATAACCCATGCTATAAATGGCTCTTATAAACTACTTTTTTAAGAAGTCAATGGGACAAGATAAAGGAGTATTCAAAAGGCATACAAATGGATAAATAAACTCATAAAGAAAAAATTAACAAATTAAAACAAGTTATCTTCTTTAAATGAAAGATTTCACTGAGATCCCTAGATAATGGCAGAGAGGGGGCTATATTTGAAGTATTATAAAATTTTAGGGTGCCAAGAATTTAAAAAATCATTCTCAAAAGTTTCATGTAGAAAAATATTATAACATAAATATTCTGCTCACATTCCCCACAAACAATAACAAAATCAGACTGGTATAAAAAATGTCTGATACTACAAGTTTGACAATGCAACTATGTCCTAAGTGGGTGACAATTTTAATCTCACAATTGTAAGCACAGCCAAACACGATCATTCAAATGTGAGATTAAAAAAACCTTTCAGTTATGGAAAGGACTACCTCAGATACCATTTCTTAAAGAAGCTATTCAAAGATTTATGCTATAAAGCAAATGTGGTGAAGAAAGCTGATGGTGCCCGGCTATCAAAAGATATAGCATCTGGGGTCTTAGAGGCTTGAAGATAAACAAGCGGCCATCTAGCTGAGAAGCAACAAAGCCCACATGGAAGAAGCACACCAGCCTATGCGATCACGAGGAGTTGATGGGATCAGGTATCAGGCATGAAAGACCCAGAACAAAAAATCTTATCAATATGAATGAGGGGGAGTGCGGAGTGGAGACCCAAAGTCCATCTGTAGACAATTGGACATCCCCTTACAGAAGGGTCACAAGGAAGAGACCAGCCAGTCAGGGTGCAGTATAGCACTGATGAAACATACAACTTTCCTCTAGTTCTTTAATGCTTCCTCCCCACCACTATCATGACCACAATTCTACCTCACAAATCTGGCTAGACCAGCACATGTACATGAGTACAAATAAGAGCTGGAAACACAGAGAATCCAGGGCAGATAAACACCTCAGGATCAATAATGAGAGTGGTGATAACAGGAGGGGAAGAGGAAGGTAGGGGGAGCAAGGGAGAACCAATCACAATGATCTACATATATAACCCCTTCCTGGGGGGCTGGAGAACAGAAAAGTGGGTAAAGGGAGACGTCGGACAGGGCAAGATATGACAAAATAATAATTTATAAATTATCAAGGGCTCATGAGGAGGGGAAAAATGAGGGAGGGGAAAAATGAGGACCTAGTGCCAGGGGCTTAAGTGGAGAGGAAATGTTTTGAGAATGACGAGGGCAATGACTGTACAGATGTGCTTTACACAATTGATTTATGTACGGATTGTGATAAGAGTTGTAAGAGCCCCTAATAAAACGATTTAAAAAAAAGACAGCATTATCAAATTATTAAAGACCAGTACAGAATAAAGAGAAAAGAAGAAACCTGACCAAAAATGGTACATTATTATCCTATTATACAATGAGGAATTAAAATAATTTTGAAAGTAAATACATAAGGTACGTAGTGGAATGCTGCATAGTTTAAAATCAGGAAAGTTATGTGTCAGGGTGGTATCCTTTCACCATACTTACTTAATATGTATGCTGAGCAAATAATCAGAAACTGGACTCTATGAAGAAAATTCAGCATAAGTACTGGAGGAAAGCTTATTAATCACCCGTGATAAGCACCTTCCTTATTGAAAGTGAGGAGAACTTGCAGTACTTTCTGATGAAGATTAATGATTTCAAGCTTCAAAATGGATTATAACTCAATGTAAAGAACACCAAAATTCTCCCAACTGGACCAATAGACAACATCATGACAAATGGAGAAAAGACTGACGTCATGGATTTTTGTCTTGCTTGACTACACAATCAACGCTCATGGAAGCAGCAGTCAAGAGATAAAAGGATGCACCGCAATGGGTAAATTTTTTGAGTGTGATCATTTTAAGGAGAGCTCTAGGGCTCTTACAACTCTTATTACAATCCATTCATCAATTATATCAGGCATATTTGCATGTTTGTTACCATCAATCTTTTCTAGACAACTACTTTCTACTGAGCCCTTGGTATCAGCTCTTCTTCCCCTCCCCCTCATGGCCACTTGATAGATTATACATTATTATTTTCATATCTCACACCAACTGCTGTCTCCCCCCACCCCATGGTTACTGTTGTTCTTCCCCCTGGAGGGGTGTGTGTGGCTGTGTGTCAACCATTATGCCTTCCCCCCCACACCAACACCACACACATAACCTTCTGGTATTGCTAATCCCATTTCTGCTCCTGGGTTGCATGTCGTGAGCTCTTCTACCTGCTCTGGTCTAGTCTGAAGTGTGAGGCAGCACTGGGGTCATGGTAGTGGGAGGGTGAAGAAGCCTCAAGGAACCAGAGGAATATTGTGTGTTTCATCGGTGATGTACTGTGCCCTGGTTGACTCATCCCTTCCCTGTGACCCTTCTGTGGGGGATATTCCATTGTCTACAGATGGGTTTTGGGTCTCTGCTCCAACCTGCCTCGTTCTCAACCATATGATTTGGTATGTTTGTTAAGGATCTTCTGATGCCTGCTACCCAGTCCCGATGACACCTACGATCACACAGGCTGGTGTGCTTCTTCCATGTGGACGCTGGGTGGCTGCTTGTTTCACTTCAAGCTTTTAAGACCCCAGAAGCTTATCTTTTAACAGCTAGGCACCATCCACCTTCTTAGCCACATTTGCTTATGCACCTATTTTGTCTTCAGCAACTGTACTGGGAGGGTGAGAATCTCAGATTGCCAAATAGAACAAAGTGTTCTTGTGTTGAGGGAGGGTATGAGCAGAGGCCCGAAGTCCGTCCACTACCTCAGTGTATTGCCATCTGAATATATGTACATAGGTCAATATCTCCATTTTTGTCGATTAATGTATTTACATATGGGCACACCTATGCTTATACCTCTCTATCCATAGCTTTGCTTCTTAGATCATTCCTGTTTCCTTCCTTCTGCTCCACCTCACCCTACTTCTGCCTCATAGTACTTCCTCTCAGCTAGATTGCTGTTGCACTAGTACTCCCAGGATCTCTATATCCTCCTCATTATTAATTTTAATTCCCTACTTGTTCCCATCTACGGAATTGTTTGCCCACCCCCCCCACCCCCCGCATCCTTCTCCCCCAAGTCCCGTTGCTTTCTCCTTGAGCTTGCTTTCCATGTAAGTAAGTAGGCATTGGGTAAAATTTTAGTGTTGAAGAACAAGATGTTTCTTAGAGGATTATGCGGCACCTGATCCAAGTCTGGGTATTTTCAATTGCCTCATATGCAGGTAAAAGTTTGACACTGAAAAAGGAAACTTGAAGAAGAACGGATGGTTTTAATTATGGTCCTGACAATGAATATTGGAAGTGTCATGAATTGCCAAAAGGACAAACAAATCTATCCTGGAAGAGGCCAGCATGCTTAGAAGCAAGGTTGGAGAGACTTTGTCTCCCATACTTTTGACCTATTTTCAGGAGAGATCAGTCCCTGGAAAAGGATATCATGCTTGGTAAAGTAGGAGGGCAGTGAAAATGAGGAAGACTGACAGATAGACAGACTGAGATAGTGATTGCAACACTGGGCTGAAACATAACAACTGTGAGGATGGTGCAGAACCAGGCAGTGTTTCTTTGTTTTACAGGGCCACTGTAAGTCAGATCTAACTCAATGGCACAAAACATCAAGAAATGGAAACCTGAATATGGTAACTCTTGATAGAATGGGAAATGTGACAAGCTAAATAGTTAATACAGAAGGAATTCGATAATTCTACAGTATTAATTAAAAGCAATACAGGGGGGCTTTAAAAAGTTTGTGGAAAATCCCATTATCTTTTCAATCTATTTCTCCATGAACTTTTAGAAGTCCCTTCATACAAACATAATAACCAGAGATAATGAACAGAAGACAAAGCTAAAACAGTTAAGTGGCCTTCTGAAAAGCAAAAGGAGGTGGGACAGAAAAGTATTGTCTTTTTAAATAAAAGTTTATATATTAATTTATTTTTAATCATATATGGTTAAAAATAAACATCATTTCAAGCTAAATTATCATAAAATACTTTCTGGATGCCTTTCTCTAACAAAATACAGTTATAGAAATGTAAATGCAATTATTTATTATTTTTAATGATTCAAAACAGATTCCTTAGGCTCATTATATTCACTATTTTAGAAAGTATCTCCAAGAAGCTTTACATACCCACAATTACTCTGCATAGCAATATCCATTTGTATTTCTTACCTAAAAGTCGATCCTAACCTATTTTCCCCTCAAAAAGTTTAACCTCAGTCTTTCATCGAAAATCATTTATTTTCTGATTATGGAGGTAATGTAGATTCCTGAATCTAGGAGCGAACTTAAAACCATTAAAATAAGACCAAAACTTTATTAACTATTATTAATACAAGGTTCTTAGACCAATAGTGAACAGCTAAACATAATTATTATTTGTTAAAAGCCCTCTCTCTACCCCCCAACCTATAAATATTTGTCCTTCTAGTGATATATTAAAGAGAAATATTTTGTATCACATACAAACACTATCAATGCTTCAAATACTCAAACACCTCATTTTATGGAAAAACAACAATAATATAAAAACAGTGATGAGATTTAATGTG